GACCTTTACAAAGCTATAAAATTGACGAGAATTCGATATGTAAGGAGCTAAGAATTTCCAAAACTTAAAATGCCCGTATCTCCGTAAATAATGGAGATATAGCAAAATAAACCCTAATTTGAGATCATGAAAATTAATTAAAATTGTTTTTTTTATTCTAGAGTTATAGGTTTTGGCAATCGTTTGAAAAATTTTTCTAAGAAAGGAATATCCTTTAGGACAGCTTCTTTTATCACTAGGAACCTTTACAAAGCTATAAAATTGACGGATATTCAAAATATAAGAAGCTGAAAATTGCCAAAACTTAAAATGCCCGTATCTCCGTAAATAAAGGAGATAGAGCAAAATAAGCCCTAATTTGAGATCATTAATATTTATTAAAATTTTTTTTTTTCAGCGTGTTACACTTGAGAAATTTGACACGTGTGTGCCGATTACACGGCGACAGCCGAACATCAGAGCCATTTTCAGTCGCGTCGATGTGCAAACTTGTAAAAAAATTGAATGTGAAAAAAAAAAGTAATACAACGCTTATAATCAAAGGACAAAACTTTATTTCACTTTACAAATATTCAAGTGATTTAATCGTACTTTCCACAGTGGTGCAATGTTTTAATTTTTTTTTTCATCTCAGAACCGTCTTTTAAGGTGGAAGAGAAAAATTATCAGGTTATTCCATAGGTATATTTTTATTTTGTCGATTTTCCGTCGCTTTTTGTTTGTTTTTGTTTAGGTCACAAGACTAGAAGTACATATACCTCAACCGATCGTATAGAAATATGAAAATTTGAACACTGATGTACACAGTGTTATTGTAATAATGTTTCAAAATTAGATCTACTGAACAAAAAACAAAAAAGATAAAATTAAAAAAAAAAAAATAATAAAAACAAAAGATTCTGAGTTTAACTGTAAAACACTTGGCCTCGTCTTATTTATGCTTTGTTTATTAAAATGTGATTCTATTTCTCATGGAAAAAGAAAATGCAGAGCCATTATCGAACACATTGTTTGGCAGAAAAGAAGATACGTCAAAGTTTTACAAACGAATAGGAAACACAATGCGTCAAGAGACCGCATGTAAAACTGCTTGCTTGTACTTTGCGCAGAAATTGAAAATATTCAATGTACATACATATACACATATATCATATGTACATATATATATTTGTTTTTTTTCTTATTTCATTACAAACGTTTCTTAACGGCTGTATCGTCCCTTTGCGGAATAATACGTGATGCTTGTTTTTGGTTCATTTTTTTTAACGAAATAAATTTAGTCGTCTAAATCGTTGATGTGAAGAACCTCTCTGTGAGTTAGCCCTGCTTTTATCAGCGTTGAAATGTCAGCACTTGGATACAGAATCCTTCTTGGATAACTGGTTGTTATTTCAAAGTTTGTTGGCGAATCCGGTTGACTATAAATCCAGTGATAAACATCCTGTGCAAGGTAAAATCAAGAAAGTTAAAGAAATACCGTTGAAGACGATAAGAGAATACGCGTGTATTAAATTTATCACCTCAATTGTGTGAGACATAAGAAATCGACGTTTAACCGTCCGCTCGCCAAGCTTGACCTGCAGATGGCAAGCGTTTGGATCGCTGGGTTCCGGCTCAGACGGTACTATTTCAACAGTGAGCTCCTTCTCGAACTTGATACGCCTTATCTCAGCTTCTATGGCATCGAGCTGCTCACGTTCCCGAGCCTTCTCGGCCTCGCGAGCTTTGCGCTCTTCTTCGCGTCGCCGATCTTTTTCCTGGTCGGCGCGCAGCGACTCCTCATAGGCAATGTCTTGCTGCTGTCTCAGGGACTGCGTCAGGCTGCGCTCAGCTCGCTCTTGGCGTGCCTGAATTAAGTTTACCTCGTTGCTGTCAACTATCGACTGCATACGAGACTTTAGCTCCGACGGTGACGGTGTGCCTTCCATTCTACAAATTAATCAATAAATGTTTACATAACGTTTTCTTCCTGAGAGTTACCACATGAATAAACATCTTGCCTTCCGACTATCGTCATCTTGTGATCCTTTAGTACAATGAGCGCTAAGAAGGGGTAAGTGCCTGCTTTGAGAGCTTCTGCAACTTTGTAGCCCTCACCCGACTTAATATTGCAAGCCCAGAAAAGGGTGTTAATATTTACAAATTGTACAATATCAGGATTTCCTAGAGTGTTCCTACAAAATCACGAGTAATGAGTTATAAGCTTATTAGTCAAGCAAATTTAGGGATTGCCTGAATCAAAGCGTTATTTTAGATTCTTACCATCAAATATCAAATATTTTTTATTACCTGCACCACTGATCAACTTCTTGCGATTCATCTTTGTGAAGATATACCAAAAGAAACCTCAATTCTTGTTTAGCATCTGAGAGAGCTTGGTTGTAAGAGCCTTGATAAAAGACTGGATGACTTGCACCATACTGTTCTTCATACGTTCTGATGAAATTCACAACATCTTGGACTGGATCTAAGGATACTTTTTTCGGGGAAAATGAATTCATGTTACACAAAAGTTCAAAAGTTTACAAAGAAATCGTAGGACATTGCACACGTGATGAAAAAAAGAAAATTTACCAGGCCTAACATTCCTCCTGAATATTGCGAATATCAGTTGTAAAATACTGGTCATAAGATTGTAACAAAAAGGGAGGATGTAAGTCGAAAAAAATCCACCACCACCTGTACTGCCAGCAGAAGTAAAGTATATTCTTGAATTCGATTCATCAACTACTGGTGGAGGTCTTACTCTTGAATCTTGAGCATACATTGATGGTCTGCCCTCATAAAGATTCAGTTGTTCCTAGATAATGTTAATAATTACGAGTAGAACACATGAGACGTTTAGAAAACCATTAATCATAAACATCAAACCTGAACAGCAACCTCCAGATTCCAGTCGTGCCTCTGCAAAACATCTCTGCATACTGAGAGATCCTCAATTCCTGTCAGGTCCTACCATGAAAAGAAATCAGATTGGTACCTACACTCTTGGATATCTGATGAGTATATTTTTGCATATATACCTGAAACTGGAGGACTTTCTCGATTTGATCGCCAACGAGATCACCAAGATCGAAATCAGCCATGGTTCGATGACAGTAGATCCCACAACAACAAAATAAAAATACCAACAACGAGAAATGCAATCGTTAAAGTGAAGTCAAAGGAGGCTGACGAGGACGACGTTGGCTTCTGCTGATCATTGGGAGAAATCTAATAGCAGCACGTGCCAACCGATGTGTGTAATAAGCACGTATGTAGGTATAGCCTCGTTTGTTGACGACTTCGCCGTCTGGCTGGGTTGTCACTTGTCAGCACACTTGGCAATTTTGTGTTCTCCTTTCTTCCACTTGGGAAACTTTTTTATCTCATTGGGGAAAATAGACGAGGGCAGGCGAACATGTTAATTGTTGAGACACTTGAGACTTGTTACGTTTGCGTATATGCTTATGTGGAGATTGGATTACGATAAGTGTGATTATCAGATTTTGCGGTAACGTTAACGAGCGACGCGTGTATTAAAGACGTGTCACAGAGTGACTCAAAACAATATCACACACGGTGGACGGCACCATCTCACCATCTCTCTGTACGAAACTAAAGTTTTGTGTTTGAGAAAAAGATCACTTTACGCTTGCTGCTGTATAGTGTTGTACGCTGTACGTGGTGTATTTTCCCCCCTCCAAGTTCACTAAGCGATGCTAGTGACGCTAGTGTCCCCTACAATCACCTGTTCAGAGAGAGAGAGAAGAGATGAGAGGTGTGTGTGAGGTTATGTATGTTTAAAAATTGTTTAACTTCGTGCGACGCTAAAAAATTATGAGTCGCCGGGAAAAGACAATTTTTCCTGTGCTTTAATTTTTATATAACGCAAGAATTTTGTGATCAATGAAGATTGGCTAATTATATTTTAAACCAAAGATGTCGATGACTCCGATGGGTAATCTGCCGTGAGTATATATTTTTGATGGTCTAGTACTTGAAATTTGGAACTGCACTGCCTTTTCAAAAGTAACACCCAACTTTGTCTATTGTTTTTTTGTCTTTGTTTTGGTGTTATATATAAATGAGTAAACATATGAAATCGATAAAATTTCATTTAAAGATGAAGGTAATCTTTTGAATGCTAACTTACCGGAACTGTCCCAAAAGCAGGTGCACCACCAAAGATTGGGGTACCACCAAAGGCTGAGGTCGCTGTTGCTGGCTGGCTAAAGATTCCAACACCTGTGGATACTGCACTTGAAACAGTGGCTGTTGCACCAAATACCGAGCCAGCTGTAGGAGTTTGTTGTGTTACAGAACCACCAAATATATTGGTACTTGCGGGAGCACCACCAAAAATAGCTCCTTGAGGTTTAAACAGCGAGTTACTGGACTGAGTGGTCGCTGACCCAAAAGTTGAGGACTGACCGAAAGTTGACTGACCCGCGACTGCGCCTCCAAATGTTGCTTGACCCGTGGTTGCACCTCCAAATGTCGACTGACCCATGGTTGTGCCTCCAAATGCCGATTGTCCCGATCCCGTAGTTGGGGTGCCAAAGATCGAATTCCCTGAAAATTAATAGTTATAATTAATCTCGCGACTTTTTAAAATACTCAGGAAAATGTTGTAATGCAATGTACCTTGAGAGGCTAGGCCACCAAATGTTTGTGTATTCTGTACTCCAAATAGTCCAGAAGATGTCTTACTCGTGCCACCAAATAGGGAACCTGCAGTGGAAGGACTTGTTCCACCAAAAATAGAAGAACCACCAAAAGATGGTTTGCCTCCAAATACTGAGGTAGTGTTTGTGGCTGGTCTACCAAATATTGAAGACGACGGCTGTGTCGAGTTAAAAGTACTAGAAGAGCCAAAAGGATTACTGTTTGATGCTCCAAAAGTCTTCTGAGTAAACACGTTGGATGGCTGACTGGAGCTGGATTGCGCAAATGGTCCCTTACTTAACTTTGAATTATCACTAAATGTTGATCCCGAGTTTTGTATTTCTTCCTAAAAATTTAAGAATACTTTGAAATGAATCATAAATACTAGGGAACTGATTTTCATGAAACAAAAGAATCATAATTTACCAATAATTGAACAAGTTGTGATGTGGGATGTTTTAAAAAATCTCTTTTGGCTTTCATTTGTTGGCACATTTGTTGAAATTGAGTTTTCTGAAAAAAAAAAATTAGTAAATACTATAAGTGAATGTTGAAAGTGATAACAAAGAAAATATGGGAGTTAATATACTCACGACTTGATCAACAGTGCCATTTTTCTGTGCTTGATACATCTCCCATCTGACTTCTTCTGGAGATACATCTTCCATGCCTGGGATACATTTTCTCTCTTTGAAAGGTCCAAAGCAAGAGAGTAACCATTGGCCACCTCTTTCAGCATGAACAACTTCTTCAGCAACCACTAATCTGTGTTAAAAAAATTTAATCACTTTATATTTCCTTGTCAAAAGTCTGTTATCGTTGATGTGTTAAACAATAAAACGTTAGTACTTACGCGATGTTCTTTTCATCGGTGTAGTTTTTATTTCCTACGAATAATAAATACCAAATGTGATAAATAATAAAACATAACCTGCGTATTAATTTGAACGCAAAGCGTCACTTCTGGTTTCTTACCGTAATGGTGCTCAAATTTGCAATATTGTCCGAAACGACAGTTTCCATGCTGAAAATACCTACAAACAACCATTTTTTTTTTAATCAGCTAACTCTATTACAGTTTTTCAAAGTCCAAGAGTTGAGTTAAACTTCAACTTGAAAGGCGATTTCATTTTCATCATAACATTGCAGAAAGCAGAATCGCAGAATGTCACCTTTCGATATCTCTCGAGATTATCCGATTATCAAAAAAGCTTAATTTTGCGAGATATCGAGGATCGATCGTGATCGGGGGGGGGGGGGTCTCGAGAGATTTCTCTTGAAAGTAATCGACCGCTAATAGCGCTGATTCTGAGAAATCTGAGCTGAAAAAAGTGTAGTTATCATCAGTGTGATGTACTTATACTTACATTTTCATATATTTTAAAAATATAAAAACTAAGTAGATCCTCTCTGCACTTTGAAACTCCTTTTTTTTTGTTACCTTTTTGAAACGAATAAAATAAAAAAACTATCAAGGATATATACCATGTAAATTTTTTAAATTAGTTTTCTTTTAATTTGTACAATTTTTTTTTGTTTATAGGTGATACACTTTTTTTCTATTTTTTTGTTTCTTTCCTTTCAAATAAACAAATTAGTTGGAATTATGAGGTACGTATTCCAAGGGCGGCTGCTCTCCAAAGTACATCTTCGGATTCGGAGTTGTCACAGCATCGGGCGCAACGTTATTATCGTTACCAACACTCGCCGTACCCGCGGCGGTATCAACTCCAAGGTCAGTTTGCATCGCGTTTTTCTCGTGCAGTTTCGTCTCTTGCAACAGGATCTCGTACAACTGGGCGCCGTTAATGCGCCCGGACGTCGCGGCCTTGGACAATCGTCGCAAAGACGCGTTTATCGCTGCTAGAACTTTGTCGCGATCCTCATCGTTCATGCCATTGGCGTTCGTTGCCAGTTCCTCGTTGTTGTGTCCTTCTGGGCCTATTTCGCGAAAAACACATTTTTTTTGTTTCATCGCAGTCATACATCGTTTCCTACATGTGAAAATTTTACTTTTTATGTCATCCTGCGGTTGTTGTCCGAGCCTAATCCCTTGGATTTCTTCTATGGAGTCCGAATGCAGCGCGGCACCTCCCGTCTCGTGGTTGAAAGCCTCTGTTTGTTCCACGACGACGATTTCGACGATTTCATCGTTTTCGTCGGCAAGAGCTTGAGAGACCAGCAACTCGTACTTCCTTAGCTGTTGCTGTAGAGCTTTCACCGACCATTCGTAAATGGGCTGTAGGTGAAATTTTTCACGGCTGTAAAGGGAGATTATCATTTTTTTTTTTCACCTATTTAGGGGCTCGATTGAGTTTATTGCTGCTTCGTAAAAATGATGACAACTCACGCTTTTTTCGAGTTAACGATTCCAATAATCGAGGCAAGTGCAATGAAGAGGACCAAAAAATAAAAGGCCATTTCTTTATTTTATTTGTTTATTTTTTAAATTTTTCTTTTATTTATTAAAATTTTTTTTTTTCAGCGTGTTACACTTGAGAAATTTGACACGTGTGTGCCGATTACACGGCGACAGCCGAACATCAGAGCCATTTTCAGTCGCGTCGATGTGCAAACTTGTAAAAAAATTGAATGTGAAAAAAAAAAGTAATACAACGCTTATAATCAAAGGACAAAACTTTATTTCACTTTACAAATATTCAAGTGATTTAATCGTACTTTCCACAGTGGTGCAATGTTTTAATTTTTTTTTTCATCTCAGAACCGTCTTTTAAGGTGGAAGAGAAAAATTATCAGGTTATTCCATAGGTATATTTTTATTTTGTCGATTTTCCGTCGCTTTTTGTTTGTTTTTGTTTAGGTCACAAGACTAGAAGTACATATACCTCAACCGATCGTATAGAAATATGAAAATTTGAACACT